TCAAAGTCTTTCGTGTGTGTGTGTGTGTGTGTGTGTGTGTGTGTGTGTGTGTGTGTGTACAGTAAATTGACTGTGGCTGACATCAGTGCTTTATTCGTAGGCAAACCACAGATTTGACTCATATCAAGCAAAGTTCTGCTCAGTGGAAACTACATTGAATTTCTAATCTACACTGACAGGCAAACACATACACACACAAACACACACACACACACACACACACACACACACACACACGTCTATATAAAGGACTGTATGACTCTTGCCATGAAAATCTTTCTTCTTGTTGACCTTAAATGGTGCTTTTCTCAGACCTGTCTTTAAACTTTATTGTAAGTGTTAACTTTAACTGTCATTAGTCAAGACATAGTGCCTCTTAACTGACTTTGACACTGTATAAAAAGTAATGCCAGTAATTGAATGGTGTTGGTACTGAAGATAATAACTTTTCTTTCCTCTTCTGTGTCTCTCTCAGGATGACAGTGGGGTGGTTAGAGATGGGAGAGGGTCTGGGGCCTCTCTCCCCTGTAGGATGGTAGCCGACAGCACAGTGGAAGGCCACGACAAGACTCAATTGTCAAGCTTATCGTCATCGTCGTCGTCGTCATCATCATCAGCATCGTCATCATCATCATCATCATCATCCTTCTCCTCATCATCATCATTGTCTTCATCATCATCACTCCGCAAAGAGTCAGAGCACCTTCAGCTTCCGGCCGCTCCAGAGCCAAGCCCGAGATTAGCGTCCGTCCCCTCTGTGTATCTGACCCACTTCCGTACTTTCTCCTGCAAGGAGGACTGCAGGATCATCACAGACACCGCCGCCAAGCTCGAACGCAGCGGCTTCTACTGGGGCCCCCTGGGGGTGGAGGACGCCCATCACATGCTGCGGGACGCACCGCTGGGCAGCTATCTCATCCGAGACAGTCGACAGAAAGACATCTTCTTCACACTGTCCTACCACGCCAAGAGCGGGCCGGTCAGTGTGCGCATCGACTACAAGCAGAAAAAGTTCTCATTGGCGGGCAACGAGCGCTCGTTCCAAACGCTCTTTGCCCTGTTGGAGCATTACATCAACTCCCCCAAAAAGAGCCTCAGCATCCCATACAGGAAATGGAAGCCAACTTTGCAGGAATTGTGCAGGAAGCGGATCATGGAGCTGTGCGAGGGAGGAAGTCTGGTGTCAGAGCTTCCAATCACACACGTGGTCCAAGACTTCCTGTTGGAATTCCCTTTCAAATTATGAGCAATTTGTTGTGTAACATTGTAACAGTACTGATTTTAATCTCAAGACAGCTGTATCTACCAAACCCCAGTAAACTGGAGGCAAAGCCTGTCTGCTGTGTGTTGATGGTGACAACTGCATTTCCATGGTTACACATTCATTCATCTCCAGGAGAGGCGGCCTCCAGCTGGACAGGGTCCATGCATGAAATTTCAACATGCGCTACCTGTCGAGAATCCACTTGCACATTGAGCACAGAGCAACTTCTGCTCTTGAGGAAGCATGAAAAGTTGGAAAAAACTGCATTAAGAGAAACCGCCGGACAGAATGGAGCCGTTACGGACACACAAGAACCGGTGGGCTCAACTGTGACCGTCCTACTGGAAAGTGTAACGTCTGCTGTTGCACATTTGTGGCCACCAGAACCTCCCAACTGTTTAAAAGTGGACTGTGGAAAGACATTAAGAGCATCAACAGTGTGGACCGGTAGAAATGCTTTGTCATATTTGAGGGTACGATTGAAACTGTCATGGCGGTGATGGGATTTATTCTTGTAGCAGATTCAAGAACTCTAATGTTATTGAATGTTTACATCACATGTGAATGTTTGCCAGCACTGAGGTCTGGTGTCAAGTTGTACTGTATGTGGAGGTCTCTCCCCTCCTGAACAATTGTCTCTGCCGGGCAGATAAATAGGTGTTTATAGAGTCAAACATATATAAATGTATTGATCATCACAGGGTTTTCCATTGATATAATATTTTTTCATTTAACATATTTAAAAAAAATAAAACGACTGACTTTAAACTGACTTTGTGTTCAGTCACTTTTTAACTGTTTCTGCAACATGTCATGTGGAGGAGTGGAAGGAGCAGACAGACAGACAGACAGACAGGAAGCATTAGATGGTTGAGTACAGTATCGTCACCACAGTGATTCATCTCTGAAGGGTAAAGTGACAGGTGGGTGGGGTTACATTGGTTGTAAATGGACTGTGTGAGAAACACACACACACACTTACGAGAAACAGCAGAGGTGACACATAATGAAGTGTGTGAGTGTGAGTGTGTGTGTGTGTGTGTATAGCAATCTTCAGAGGACCCAGCACAGATTAAACTTTCCTGAAGAGGAAGTGGGAATTTTTTAGGGGGGTTGGTGGTTAGAAGGGAGATGGTTTCAATGAAAGTCTGGGTTCGCGTCAGAGATCACATTTAACTGTAGAGTTAAAAAATAATTAATAACGTGGGCAGCACATAAAACTCCAGTGAAATAAAAGTATTAAAGAGACAAAAAGTACGAGAACAAGATACTAAATATTAGGAACGTTGAGCTGAACCACTGGCGGAAATGTGAACTGACTTAAATGCTTTATGCACCGGACGCATGTTGGCTAATGTAAACCTGAACAAGGAACACGCCTCCAATCGATTCCTCTCAGCCGGCCTAACCAGAACGCCAACACTAAAACCAAACCCGACCAAAAGCTTTGTCATCTGTTAGGGGATTTTTTCTTAATTGGCTTATTATAGCGCCACACACACACACAGACAGAGGAACATGAGTCAGTGATATTGACATGATTGCAACATCTTTTCGTTTTTCTAAGATCAACCCTCCCTTTATTTTAAGCTTTACCTAGAAATCACTATTCGCACTTTCAGCTCATCAATGGCGTGTGTTCTTGTGCAGCTGGAGGAAGGTGACGACTGAATCACACGCAGCGGTTTCATTCACGGCTTGTCAGTTTTCAGGACATTCCCGGCCGTTTAGAGAAGTGAAAGGTGAAGTGAGGTGTTTCGTGACAGCTGATTTTTCTGGAATCCTCTGCCTGAAATTTTAAACACACACAAAAACACTTCTCTGGAAATCAATCGAATTAAAGGTAAGTGCCACACGCAGGGAAACAGAAAACATCTCAGGACTAAATGTCTCAATTCGCTGAAAATCTATTTTAAATGAAAGTCTAACAACTGACACATGACGCCCAGCAGCCTAACTGGTTTGTAGTAAAGTTTTTCTTTGAACCAAACACTGATTCTTGTAAACCTTGTAGTAGTGCTGAATCCCATCATTAGTCACCAGTTTCCCTTTCTTTCGTCTGCATCCTTCACCCTCGCACCAAGTCTTTTTTTGTGGAGTTTCTCAGAAGAGTATGAAGATAACTGGTTCAGAGGAAACATTTGTCACCTAGTAAGATAATGAGTTTTGTGAATGACTTGCCAAAAAGAGTGTGGGTCATCACCAAAAGGCAGAGGAACTTCCACGCGACTGAATGAAGTGTTTCCCCTTCAGCAGAGAGAAGGCCCCCTCTTTTCAAAATCACCCCACACAGACGTGGGAGACACTTGTTCCTGCTTATCGTCACGCTTCAGCTAAATAACTGACTTCTTACAGCTGCTACATCCTGGTACTGAAATCTGTTTAGATGTTCCCAAAAAGCAGTAATGGGACATGAGAGCTCCCGGCTGCAGTATAGGTCATAAATTCTTCCTCTTCCATGTTAGGGGACGGGACACAGAAAAGTTTCTATTTTCTCATTTAGTTTGAGGTGGAGGGAGGGAAAATCCACCAACCAGCACCTTTAAATGTCAGTAAAATGTTGTCTCATGTACAAAAACTTACACTTTGCCATTTCATAGTTGGATAGTGGGTGATTTCTTGGATGCAGTAAATTCTGTCTTGTGGTTGCCCTGTAAAGTAAATGTCTGAGAAATGGCTTCACACAGTTTCTACCGCAACCATGTGATTGTAAACAGGTAAAAAGATGTTGACAACATATGGAGGTGTACATGTTTCTAACCTCTCAGTTCAAATTGATCGTCATCCATTATTGTGACTCAAACAACACGACTGCAGAGATATATCTTCAATCTTTACATCTGTCTGAACTTCTGTTTGATGCTGTGACTGCTGCGGTGTGGTGCACACACGCACCATGTCAGTATTGTTTCAGTACCAGGAACTCATTCAGGTTTACGCACACAACACCCAGACTTCCCTGAAGTGAGGAACCGCGATAAAAGTAACATACCGCAAGGTGACTGAGGGCGGCAGCAGCCACAGCGACACAAATGTAGAAAGTTTAACGGCAACGTCATGATCCTGAGGCCTTCACACCATCTAACACACACTGACACATTTTGAATTCAGGCCATGAGCAGATGAGTGCATCATTAACTCGTGTTTAAACCTGAGTGTAGAGCTGCAGAGCAGGAAGTTGAACATCTTCACAAAGTGTTGTGTGCAGCAGTTTGAACGTTACCATCTGTGTGTTTGTTCACGTGAGGCGTCTCAGTGTGGGTCCCTGACTTTAAGCTTTCTACTACATGTGACTGTTTTATACTCAGCAGCAGACATGTGAGAGGTTGATTGTGTAGAAATCCAAATATTTTACAACCTATTATTTTTTTTAAAGGGCATTTTTAAGGGTACTGAAATTCACTTCCTCTTAAAAATATCTTTTGAAACCTTGTGCTCAGAGTTGTAGAAGACGAGGGGGTGGGGGAGAGTTTTCTAATATTTCCTGTGGTTTTCTTGCTCAAACTGAGGAGAACCTCCTCTGCTCTTACTAGTGGTGTGCAGTTCTCTGAAGAATGGAGTACAAAAAAAAAAAAAAAAAAACTGTCCTGGCCACAAACACAACACTCATGCAGCGCTCTCGACATTTTTAAGTAGAATAATTTATTGCAATTCTTTATTTATTCCTCTGTTTTAGTTCATTAACAATAATTACAGGTTTAAAAGCCAAAAGCATTTACAGAGCATACAAACTAATTGCATACACACACACTACAATCAGAGACTCAATAACAGATGCTTGTCACGGCACGTTTCGGTTACCAGTGGTTACGAAAACGCGTCGGCCGATTCACGTTCCTCTGAACCATCTGTGCCACATCTGCAAACTGTGCCTAAGTAAGCCTCTTCAGCATGTCAGCGCAGCCTCATCACCACTGTCATTCTTCTGCTATTTACAAAAGCAAAATGGAAACACGAGGAGACAAGACTCAAAATAAAGAGAGTATTGCTCTGAGTTTCTCATTTAAAAACTTGGTGATGACTGTACAAAGTTACAAAACAAGAATGATCGAGCATTAAGACTTCAGCTGTGTGACGATGGCACCGGAAAGAAGAGGGCGAGTCAGGAGACGGAGAAACGCAGGGCAGGTAAAAGTTTTGAAAAAGATGAGGACACACAGAGAAAATGTATTTTAAACAATCTGAGTGCTTTACAAATTAATTAAAATACACAGATCCCAGTTTCTCTAATTGATCCAATACTGACTGAGAGATAAGTTGTTACATTCACGTCTCCCCATCACTGGTTAGCTCTTCAGATTATTGCAGGAGTTAAGCTTTATTCAGATGATTGAAGGAACGATAATTCCAGGATTTAAACATAAAAATAGGATCCAACCTTTTTTTCATGGGGGGGACTCAACCACATACTAACATTTATCTATTTAAACCCATCCCTACATACATGCAGAGTAAAACTGAGCTCAGGTCAGCGCCTGAGGGGAAACCAGCAGGTACATTCAACACGTGCGGACCCAAAGACACGGCTGCTACTTAAAATAGTTTCCTCGTGACACCGCAGATCGATGTTATACTACATCACTAGGCGGCTGAAAGAAATTCAAGAACATTTCTTTTTTTATCTAGTTTTCTCAGGTCATCAAACAATCTGAAACATCAGCGTATTGTATTTGAGGACATTTGTGTTGTCACAGGCTGAAATACTCTATGCGTAAAATGAATGAATGAATCAATGCATGACCGAAACGATACACTTACTGCTGCTCTGCATTAAATATTAATACAGTACCACTTATACTGCAGGCTATGCTCCATTCAGATCTCTCAAAAACTGGCTGCTGAAGGGTGAATGCACTTTAAGATTTTGCAAAATGTGATGTTTGAAAACCAGGAACTGATCTGACATGGAAGTTGGAAGAAAACCAGAGTGAGATCAAAACTTGCATATCTGAATTGCTGAAAACCGACACACTAAACTAAAAAGCAGCTTTCACACACCTCATGTCACTTTCCCACATGAATTTATCCAAATATTTACCAGCGGGGCACAAGACGACCACTTTTAAAATAAGCTTAGGTTAACATCAAATGAAAGATAATTGCTGCCTTCTCGGTCAAGCTGATTTAATATATATTCTATAAAAAACACCAATCAGAAAGTGGCAAATGAATGGATCATTACTTTACATGTGGAAGAATGAGAATTAAACCAAAAGCGGAACACACGCACGCCGACCCACTGGCACTTCTGGGTGGCAGTAACTGCTAATGGGTGCAACATGCAAAGGTTAGAAGGCAAGTGCAGCTGACTCAGTGTGGACTGTATGAATTGTGTGTGTGTGTGTGTGTGTGTGTGTGTGTGTGTATTAGCATAGTAGTGACCACCACCACAAAACAATAGTGGTGAAAACCGTTATGAGAACATAAGACACAAAAATAGGGTGTGTGTGTCTTTGAGCTGACGATCGATCAGAATGAGTAAAAAACTTTGCTGGTTGTGTGCGTCGGCACACGCGTGCTAAAAACACGGCTGGACACACTCGAGCGCACAAAAATCCAAATGTGCTTTGAGCCTTCCTTGAGTTCCACCGGTGACTGGACTCGTCTTCTGTCTGTGCATAAAAATAGTCTTTCTTCATGTGCAAACACAAAGTTGAGATGACTTCTAAAGCCTCCTGATTTATCCACATCACACCATTCCAACAAGTCGCAACATGAAAATATACTGTAGCCTCACTGGATGGTTTCACCATCACTCTCTACTGTCCTCTGCGTGTGTGAGATGACGTTACGTGAACATGAATTTCTGTTTAGTTTAATCCAGTTCAGATGAGTCTGGTGTTTCTGAACGTGTCTCTGCGTCTTCTGTGTTCTCCGCACAGTCGTCTCTTTTTTGTGACTCTGCAGCAGAAAGCTCCGCCTCTAGATGTGTGTCCTCACCTTCTGGCTCGTCACCCCCCTCTGGTGCCTCGTCAGTGGGTGCCTCTTTGACTGCCTCATCCGTCGGGGATCCCTCCTCCTCTTGCATCTCCTCCTCATCTCTTTGCCCTCCTTTCCTGTCTCCCTCTGTCTCCTCCTCAACCTCCTCCTCCTCCTCTGCGATGGAGGCATCAGGTCTCTGGAGTGAGTGCATCGTGGGAACATGGCTGGCGCATGGGTGCAGGTGCGGCGAGTCGGAAGGGGGTAGTAGCGTGAGCGACTCCACGCTGAGGGTGTCGGCGTTGTTGTCGGTGAGGAGGGAGATGGTGGGCTGGGAGGCCGGGGTGAGGCTCGGGGCCAGGGTGGGAACGGGGACTGGGGATGAAGGAGTAGAGGAGAGTAGAATTACTTCTCCACCTCCCCCTTCCCCTTCTCCGCCTGAGGAGGAGGGCGGAGTGTGCTCCAAAAATGTGCCGTCATCTAGTGGAGAGGAGAGGAGGCACATATTTTTAAGAATTCCCACTGTGTTTTTCTGAGAAGAGTGAGAACTTGCTTACAGTTTCACTTCAGGATAACCCAATGCAGGAACTAAAGATTTACGTTAACTGTTTCACAATAACCCTCTAACAATGAGTCACTGTCTGAAACACTCACTGTATAAACATACAAAACAACAGATTTAACTCCAGAACGAGACACAACTCTTGGATTAGAGTGAGTTTCTCCTGAAACTCAAGACACTATAAGGAGCCCTATCCAGTTTCACCAGCTCGACTATATACGTAGAGCACTCAAACCTTACACGCTCTACTACACCTTAAACAGTTCATATGAACTAAGGCCCAAACAAAGCTTTGAGTACATATGTCCTCAATCATCTATCGGAGGAATCTACTAAGGTATGGTGTTCTTCCATAGCCAGTTTAACAGGTGCTGTGTTTGGATGTAAAGAAACAACATGTTAACCCCCACAAGACTCCAGCCATCGCCTTGTTATTAAGACAGGATCTAACCACATGCTCTACATGAAAATTAAGAGTACAGTAAAGATCTGCTGTATAGGAAAAGTGCTCTGAGTTGACCTATTACAATTTGGTGCTATATAAAATATACTATGTATAAATAAATTGATTTGACTCAACTGACATCAGTGCAAGCAACGGCGTGTGTGTGAGTGTGCGTGTGTGTGCTACCTGTCGGACTTTGAGCTGATATAGTACTTGCAGTAACAGAGTCACATCTCCCTGTGCTGCCACTCCCACTGGAGGGAGGCGAGGGTGAGGAGAGGGGTGAGGGACTGTGCTGCGACACACAGTGAGCCACCGCAAAACCTGGAGGTGGCACACGTGTACATAAACACACACGCACAAACACACACCAATTAAAACTATGGTTTACCTTCAACCTTATGTGATTTTAATTTACCCAAAACTTACAGAAAAGATCAATCTATTATAGAAGCGTTCCTATGGAAAACACATTCACTACTAAGGTGGCTACAAATACATTTCAATTACGATAGACTCACTAAAAAAACTCAGTATCACAAACGTATTGCATAAGCACGTCCTGAAACCTTATCATTTCAAAGTTTTCTACCAGGGGAGCCGGTTTCCTTACCGAGAGAAAAAATAAAGTCCTGTTCAGGATCTGCCGGTTTAATAAACCAGTGGCAACAGAACAGCAAATTGCTATAGCAAATTGTAATTAACTACATTTATTGCTTCACAAATCTGTCTGTGTTTTACCTGGAACTTTATCCACAGAGGCAAAGACTGATCTGTTTGCTGTGGGGTCGTTGGGGGCCCGTCTTGACTGTTCGTAGAACCGGAAAGGGAGGCCGCTGGGTGAAGCATTTGCTGTCTGACCAAAACCCAGAACCTCTGTCGCACTGGGCTGCACTGGCAGGTCCAACAGAGCTGCATACACAGGAAGGACAGGGATCAAAATAAAGCTTCTGCAGTGCATTTAGCGTCAGATAATAAACTGATATTGCAGAGAAAGGTTTCTGCCTCATGTCAGAATAAGGGACTTCATTTAGATTGTCCGAAGAGCGAGTGTAATAGGAGAAAGAAAAATGATGACTCATGTATTTGTATGGCTTCCGTGTAACTAGGAATACTTTTGTGTCTTATTTGCATTGTAAACATCCCCATTGTCTTGTTAATGATAACCAGGACAATGAGGATGTTACTGATAGATTCTGAAGAATCAGAGAGAGGAAGTGCTGATTAGTCAGTTCATCAGAATTAACAATTCAAGAGAATTCTCCAAAAATATGTTTTGTAACAGTACAAACACAAACACCAGGTGCATTGGCCACAGGAGGGTCATTAATGGGTACAAAACAGATTTGAGACTTTTAGAATTTTTGCAAATATTATTTTTTAAGAACTTGTGACCATCCTCACACATTACATCTGTACAAGGATCAATCTTGCCTTCCACACATACTTCCTTCTTTCCCAGCAATACCCAAGGTCGGGTTCCAGATAAAGGGCCAACCAACAGCACATTGTAGTGTCTACGTTGAAGGACTTTCTTACACAATTCAGATTCCCCAGACAGAGAGGAACCAACTTCAACTCTTGCGTTTTTCACCAGTGGCAAGATGTAAGGACACAATGTCGTTTAGGAATTCAGACTCCAGGCTTAACTAACCAATAGGATGCGAACGCCTACATGTAACATAGAGAGTGACAGCAATTCTAGCCTGTGTGGTGTGCTGTTGGAATGGGTGACGCAGGTAGAGGGAGATATATGGGGACGCTGTGGGAGACATGGGGCGTTTGTATACTGTTCCACCTTCTGGTCTCCTTGATGCATCAAGTCTACATTAAACTCTTCTGCATCAGCTGCCGCCCGAGTTCTCCTTTCACCAGCTTCCAGAAAACCTCCATAGCATTTATGATTAAAAAATTTTGGGTCTGATTTACCCTTTCATGTCTTAATCATCTAATATTTATAAAATCGAAACTAGTGAGATCCAGTGGTGTAGTATGATAAGGAAGAGCGACTGGGCAAGTGAGCAGAAACCCACAATATATGAGAGTGAGCTGACCAGGAGGCGTCACCGGATGTTGCATACTGGTGTAACTAACAGAAACGTGGCTAACTAACGCCTCGTTTGCCCTCCTGGCTTCCTAATTACCCACCGGCGATCCTTTGCATCTTCATGCGGCGGGCCTGGATGCGGCCCTTGGCCAGCCTCTGCTTGGCGATGATGCAGCGGATGTGGTCAGCGAAGATGAAGTTGGCCTGGAGGATGGGCAGGGGCTTGGCGTGGGGGTTGGAGCTGGGCTTATGGATGACTATGTTCAACGCTCTGCTGTCGTCCTCAACACCAGACACCTGCATGTCCTGTTGAGAGAGGGAGGGTGAGAGATGAGGAGAGGGGGAACAGGGAGAGGAAGACAGGGTATGTGAGTTTGAAAATGTAAAAAGAAAGATGAAGAGAAAAACAAAAGAGAGGTTGAAAGTAATTCAACGTAATTGAATGAAAAATACAAATCGGTAGGAAGTGCGTTGAGAAATTCCACTTCAGTGACAGAAGTTAACATGTCATTCACAAAACAGAAAAAGGAAGGAAACATTGTATTTAATACAACAGGTTCAAAATGCATCGTAACACGTTACAATACAAGTTTCAAAACATCATACTGTAATTTTTATGCAGATGTTAAAATGTGTTGGAAGGCAGTGTCACTTAAACTTCATGTTGATATAACAGAATACACAGGAAAATGGTACAGCATGACTAAACACGCTTTTAGCTAGAAGACAATTACGTGGTAAATTCTGTCAATGGATGCTGTCTCATGTGACGCAGTATATCATGTATACTGAGGACGAGGACAAGGGGGGGGGGAGAACAAATTTGTGGCTGAAAAAAGAGGAGTTGGGCAAATAATTTAAAACACAAATATACAAACAGCTGCTCTCTTACTTGCAGGAGTCCAGCAAACTTGACCACACCCCATCCGAGGCGTTTGGTTTCTGGTTCGACCAAACTCATCTGGTACACATCTACAGCGAGGAACCTCTGGGCCTGGCCGCCATCTTTACTGACCACCATGCAGGCTATGAGGTCACTGTTGTCTGTAACAGACGACAGGCATGAAGGTTAATGTGCTGCTGTTCAATGTAGGTCAAGTCTGTTCGGGTTCCTCACACCTCGAAAAAGACAACATTACAATCTATGTGAAAATCGAAATTTTTCTAGAATCATCAAACTTCTAGAAAATATCTATATATGTTGAAGCACTTTTTGCAGCGGGTTTGACGCAGGTTACAGTTATGGGGCGCCAGTCACAGTGAAGTCTGACTCCTACTGATGAAACAAAAACCGTCAAACCATAAAAAACAAGAAGCAAGTGTGTGGCTAGAGCCAAAATTACGCAAAAACATGTGAGACTTTCCATGAAACTAGGTGGAAGGATGTAAAGCTTATGTGGAAGGGACAAAAACGAGCCCAATACAATTTGGTGCAGATTCCTGAACTATATCTCACTTTATTTAACAGTGTGAGATAGAAAGTTTTAATTATTTTCACCATTTTCCCAGGATATAATTCATGGATCTTGTTGAACAGAGCAAAATCAGTCACATTTAGGGATCTGATACTTATGAGTATGTGCAATTTAGTGCAGCTTAATTGGATTGAAGGGGACAGTTGGGCCTTTGAGGAGGTACGCACTTGGGCAATTATGAAATATAGATCAGAAAGACGGCCCTGTTCTCCTATTTCAACAAATGTGAGGCAAGCTGTTAGGTAAGATTTCATGGAGGAGCCACAAGTATGCACTCGGCACTCCCTGCCTCCTAAAGAATTCCATTCAGCAGTCAAGTAACCTGTCACCTGGATCAGACCTTAATACAATGGAGTGACTGTAACTGGGCAAAAGTTCATTGAAGGTCTAAAAAGTAAAGTTCATCAAAACAAATTTAACAATTTCATTTTCAGTTGAGTTTTACTGTTATGAATCAACAATAAAACAATAAACTCCGTACATGTATTCAAAAGAGAAAACACAGCCTTGCTCAAGAGCACTTTCACTATTGAGGAAAACCTCCCACTGATGGGAACACAACAAGACCATCCGACTGAAAGAACATCCCTGCTCTGACACATCTTGTGACTGACAATGTACAGTACACCTCTGTGTGTGTGTGTGTGTGTGTGTGTGTGTGTCTTACTGAGGTCTAACACATCATCTGTTTTGATCAGGTCTTCAGGTCTGGTCAGAGGCAGCTGTGTCTCAGGTTCTCCCTGCAGCTGAAGCGACAGCGACCGCAACATGAAGAACACCCGGATCGCCTGTGCAG